TCCCAATTGCTTCCTTTCTTCTTTCTATCCAACCAGAGACATGATGCCTCTACGCTGCAGAGGGTCTTTTGCCCAAGCGCTTCTCTCAAACAGCTCTCCAGTTCGTCTGGTGCCATCTATTTCTCGCATCTCCAGCATTTCTCCTCGCCAGAGATTTCATACGTCCCCCGCGTCATGCGCACTCAGGTCTCAGATTCTGAAGGATGTCGGTGAAGGTATGCTATTCCGTTTGATGCTGGAAACGAAAGAAACATGCGCTAACGTATACCTCATGTAGGAATCACCGAGATCCAGATCATACAATGGTATGTGCAAGAGGGAGCGAAGATTGAGGAATGGAAGCCATTATGCCAGTATCAGTCTGACAAAGCTGTTGACGATGTATGTGTCCTTGGCCAGGCAAATTCGCCTCTAGCGCCCTGGTTTGTGCTAACCAATCTCTGCAGATAACGTCGAGATACGATGGGGTCATAAAGAAATTGCACTTCCAGGCCGATGATACTGTGCCAACGGGAATGGTATGCTATGAGGCCCAAAATGAATCTATGCTAATCATAATAGCTAATGTGATTCTAAGGCTTTGTGCGATATTGATGTGGACGAATCGAAATATCCCGATGAAAACGCTCGTCCACCAACTAACGAACCCCCGCCCCCACACCCGATACCAGAGCAGGTTGCAAAACCTCCTGCTGTCAATGTGGCTACGGAAGCACTATCAGAACCCGTTGTAGAAGCCATATCTTCCCCATCCAAATTCGCTTCTCTTGCAACACCGGCCGTCCGCGGTATGTTGAAGGAGCTGAAGGTGGATATATTAAGCGTAAGCGGAACCGGCAAGGATGGAAGAGTTCTGAAAGAGGATGTTCTCCGATACGTCGCGGAGCGAGACGCCACACCAGCCCCGACAGCGCCATCAGTACCCCAACCTACACAACCGGTGTCGGGTGTTGACACCACACAGATAGAAACCACCACCCCATTGACTCCAATTCAGTCTCAAATGTTCAAGACCATGACCCGGTCACTTACCATCCCTCACTTCCTTTACGCCGACGAACTCAACATTAGATCGTTATCCTCCATCCGCAAGAAACTTGCAACACACCCAACCGAGCCGCTTAAACTCTCCTATCTTCCCTTCATCATCAAAGCCGTCTCCCTCTCCCTAAATTCCTTCCCTCTCCTAAACGCAAGAGTTGACACCACCACCAACCCCACCAAGCCTGCCTTAGTTATGCGGTCAAGCCACAACATCGGCGTAGCCATGGACACTCCAACAGGTCTTCTAGTGCCCAATATCAAAAACGTCCAGGCCCGCTCCATCCTCGACATTGCGGCAGAGCTCGCTCGCCTCAGCGAAGTGGCGCGTGCAGGCAAGTTGACCCCCACAGACCTGAACGGTGGAACCATCACCGTATCCAACATTGGCAATATTGGCGGCACCTACGTCGGCCCTGTCATTGTGCCGAATGAGGTTGCCATTCTTGGTGTCGGGCGGGCCAAAACCGTTCCCGTCTTCGACGAGGCTGGTAATGTGGTCAAGGGCGAAAAAGTGAATTTTAGCTGGAGTGCGGATCATAGAGTTGTGGACGGGGCTACGATGGCGAGGATGGCAGATAAGGTTAGGTTGTATTTGGAGGAGCCTGAGTCGATGATGCTAGCTCTCAGATAAGGATATTTCGGTAAATCGAGCTTCACATAGGTATATTTCTTTCTGCCATTATAAACAGGGAGAAAAGGGTGGCCTTTTTTTTTATATTTGTTTTATTGCGTTTTATTTTCTTTCTTTCTTTTTTTTTTTTTAAAAAAAACCTTTTCTCACGTTCTATTTACCTCTCCAAAACAGACGGGTATATATGCTGAATATCCAAACCCCCCTTGGCTTGTGTGATGGCTTTTACACATATTTTCTGTTCTCTCTCCAAAGGTATTAGGGTATGCAAAGGTTGAATGGCTCGCAGTACATGTCGATAGATAAATGTATCAAAAACTATGCACACAATAGAATATATTATTTATTATTCCTACACCGCTGGACCTAGAAAAATTATGCGGGAGCTCAGTATATATTAATAAGGAGAAAAAAACCATGCAGCAGACACACCACTGCTGGACTCAAACCCCCCCCCCCCCCCCTGGAACAATAGAATATACAATCATCCCTTTTATTCCGTTTGCCAGCATATGCCTTGTACTGTACGAACAGAATTTAATATGACGAATTAGTCAAATAACCAGGTGAGGGAATAGTAAGGAAAAAGAAACGGAGATCATCCAATTGGTTCCCCAGAGAATATGAGGCGAGCATTATTTGGGGGCCCTTTCTTGTAATATCCTGTTATATGTTATATACATGTGTCTACGTCATGATTTATTCGATCTATGGTTCAACATCGGTGATGCGGGGTGAAATTGAACGCTATCTCGAAAATATTGAGAAGGCTTTGCTCTCTTCTGCAGATGAGTTTATATTCTTTATTTAAAGTATTTTATCTTGTTAAAGTTTAAGAAAAGGGGGGAGAGGAAATGGAAGGAGGGTGTGTAAAAATGCGATTGCAATTGTCTCAAGGAATGGCAAGCACCGATCGAACGACAATCAAAAAGGAGAATAATGGAAGGGGTAAAAGGGAGAACAGCAAGGAAGCAGGTAGACCCAAACGCTAATTTCCCACAATGTTTCTTCCAAAGTCTTTCCTCACGCCGAAATGTATCCTCTTTCCCATCTTGTTAGGACTTAGAGATAGAAACGCCCTTCGTTACACTGAATATGCCAAAACACGCCTTGCAAAACCACTCTGTGGACGGAGATGCTGAACGGGAGAAGAAGAGGGGCACAAAATTAGGACGAGCGCAACGGACGGAGCAAAGATATAAAATCGAGAGTGAGAAGAGCACCCTGCCCTAGTGCTTGACCTAAAAAAATTATGACGCCGGAATATTCATCACAGAACAAGGGAACGAGGAGCTAAGAGACAAATTGAAAAAATATTTAAAAAACATGAGAAATGAGAAAAGGCAATGGGCAGAAGACGTGAAGCAAGTAGAATTGCGGGGCGGGAACTTGAGTCTAATTGTCCGCGGGTATGGTGCTAGTGTCGGATTGATTGAAATTGTGAGGTGTGGAACTTCCATCGGCTTTCTTCTGTTGTCAGACGTCGGAAAACAATTGGGTCACAAGGGAAGAGAATAATCTCTTTCGCTTTTGTATGGAAAGGAGTCATAATCAAATGGATATCGATTCTCTCTGGCAAGCAGGAGGCAGTGGATGTCGCAATGGATTGACATTTCAACGTTCGTTATCGGTTAAATAAAACGAATGTATGCGGGATCGAAGCCCAACAACCTTGCCTGCTCCAGCTTTGGATGTAGTTCGCAGAGTAGAGAGCAGCGTATATTCGTTGTCCGCGTGTATCCGTCCGGATAGAGGGGGTGGTGATGGCAGGGGGATCCCCAACGAAGCTGTGGTCGCCTATAATCCCGAAAAAATAAAAAGTTCCAACAGGCTTTCTTATTTATGTTGCTCCATAATTTGGTCTACCTCGCGATTCACACGATCCTGCACCACATTCGGCTTGGCGTCGCACGACACGGTTATCGCATCCCCCTCCGAGCCCGACAATGGTTTTTCCAGAGCTTGGAACTGCGAATGGACCATCGTAGGCGGCATGTAATGACCCTTCCGCGCCGTAACTCGCCGGACAAGCACGTCCTCTTCGGCGTCGAGGTAGATAAAGTGGATTTGGACCGTGGGGTGGTTGTAGGCTGCGACCCGCATGACGTCACGATACTTCCTCTTTAACGCGGAACATGTCATCACGACGGCTGAGTGTCGTTGAAGCGACTCTATAGCGGCGTCGCGCAGTGCGATTAGCCAGTCCCACCGGTCCCCATCGTCCAGCGGGTTGTTATTTCTCATCTTCTGCTTGTTGCTTTCTGGGTGGTACTTTGGTTTTAGTACTGTTAGTTTTCCGGAACTATATCCTTTGCAGTACCTCCAGGCATATGCTGTGAAGCGACATCCTTTTGAGGTGGTGAGACTAGGGAAGAAGAGGGTGTAGTTACTGACGTCGTCACCTTCAATATATTCCACTTGCAGCTTCTTACTCAAGCTTTTGGCGACTGTCGTTTTCCCACAGCCTGCAGGGCCTGTGATGATCCAAATATGCTGTAAATCGTGGTTTTGTGTTCTCATGGCTTGCTCCGTGGCTCGTTGACTTGGATAGGGAACATTGGAATTAGAGTTGCATCGTGAGATAGGGGTATGTCGTGGATGAAGGGTAAGGGGTATACTAGTAGCTGGTGTAGGGTGCATGTATACACGCCGGTTTGTATCTTGTGCAGAGAGCATGATTGTGTATTATGGGAGAGTTGACTAGGTTTGAGATCTAGGTTGCTTAAAGTTTGGTCCCGCGAACAGCTGCTTCCCTTCGCTGAACCTCTTAGATAAATATAAGGGCGAGACGCTCAATCTGCAAATGAAGGAACAGCAGCTAGTGCCTCAAGAAATAGTAGAGATAGTACCCATAAACCGCGCAGAGACACTTAGAAGGAATAAATAAACCAAGGCAGGGTAGACAAAAGCACAGCCTTAGTGTCTGAGCAGGGGAGAATGATGACGATGGATCCAGAGAATGGTGGGTGTATAGAGTATAAATATGTTTGGTCACCGGGTAGTTTCACAAAAAGTTTGAACTCAGGCGACGAGGACAGGGTTACCGATACATATGCCAATTGCTACAGACAGGAGCTGGGGTAAGAATGTGGGGAAGCGCAAGCCCGGTTGGAAATTTGGGGGCCTTGGAAAGCTACTTTTGGGCCCGCCGTCACGGTTCTGGGACCGGCGAAGGTTTGAGTGGGGATTTAATGGGCCAGTTGAAGTATTCAAAACCCCAGGAAAGACGTTCGAAGCAAGACGCGGATTCAACTGGAAGCACGCCAACTGAAGGAGCTAAGTTCACTAGATAGGCTTTAACAACGAAGAAAATAAAATAAAATAAAATAAAATAATAAAAAACAAAAACAAAAGCAAGGCCAACTAACCATCCGATAAGTGCCAGTGCTGGCCGGATGATATTTCTTCTATTTATTTCAGCGGTATGGGGCGTACTCCACAGCCGAAGAACCGTCCATGAACCGTCAGGTTTCGAGAAAAGTGGCCCAGGGACCCAATAATGGCGTAGATGGGACAGTCCTGAGCCCAAGTCTCAACGCATAATCACTGACTGGCTAGGCATAAATGGAAAGCAAGGAGAGGGGTGATGCAGCCACACTGACAGGATGCCAGACATGAAAGTAAGCGGCAGCATACACAGGAATCTGAAATATGACAAGGACGGACTCCAAACACAATGCCCAAGTTCGAGGGAGTAAGACGCAGTTTGAGGACAGCCATGGGGGATCCATGCTGGGATCCATGGGAACGACCTCACAAGCTGTGGCGCGGTTCAGACGATGAACAGATCGAGTTTCATGGACGGCCATCGTTTCGACTGCTCGATTTCGGTTTTCCTTTTCTTTTTCCTTTTTTTCTTTTTTGGCGGTTTTGGAATGGGATAATGTCCAGAGGGAGGCCCGAGTGAGTTCATCCTTGCCTTTCTAAAGGTTATGCACGCAAACACTAAACAATAACTAAATAAGGCAAACGGCCCTGGCATGCTTGATCAATACAGGACAGGTCTTCCAAAGACTTTTCTCCCAATTTCTAGTCGTCAAGCCAAATCCCACACTAAATTTTTGCTGTGGAAGACTAGGAGTGAGCAGGGTTATATTGACCCATATGTGACCTGTCATTCTATGTAACATCAATCATCAATATAAATTCGACAGGAAACAATGGTAGCCATTTGCTCGGCGAAGGCATTTTTGTTTGCTGGAGAAAAATACCAATGAACATTCAGCTTCTCCATACTAGCAATAATGGCCTGCGAGACTGCAGATTATGCCCGGATAGGCGATTACTTAGACCGAAACGCATGAGGGCACACCAAGATAATATATCTACATAACTGCATTCAAGGCAATGTCATGACTGGATGAAAAGAATGTGATGGCTTCATGAAATCTGGAGTTTGGCAGGGTAACCGACTGGCATCTATTCAAGGGCTTCCCGAAATCTGCTATACAGTTGGAAGAACTTCATGTGTGAACATGCTGTGCATCCCTAGGGCTGTCAGGTCTAAAACTTATATCTGCCTGAGGATGCGCTAATATACTGCGTAGATAGAAATGATGTGAGTCTGGGAGGTCACTTTCGTGCAACCTGGGCAAGGAGCTAGCAACTTGAAGGTATGCGCTAGACACTTTTCTTTTCTTTTCGTTCCAACTCCAGCAGATCAACCATAAGTTTGCCCACGACTTTCTCTTTATAGCCCGGTTTTTCATAGGGATTGTCTATATTGGCATTACGCCAACCACGAGTTTGGATCAGTTGAAAGAAATCGCGGAGAAGGACACAAGTGAGAGTAATGCACGACGTGAGGCAATCAATGCTTTTACATAGAAAGCGAGCTCGGTGAGGCCGACTTAGTATATGCCGTTGACGATGTCGTAGTAGCCTCTTCGGCTATTCCGGAGGCTGCACCAAGCCGCAATTACCGCGGATGACATGGGAATATTTATGCGGCAGAAGAACGAGGACGCTGAAGGGTTTGGGCTGTATCTTATCCCCAAGAAAAAAAACAGCTTTCAAATCATTAGTGAGGTTGCTACATAGCTCTCAAGTGTTGCCGTCGGGCACTCAGACAAAGCCTCCCGACTGGACACAGGTGCTGGACACATGCACAGTACCAATCTGCTCAAAGCACTCGCAGAAAGACGTGTCTCAAAATATTTTGAAGTTTTTTCTAATGTCAAAGTGGTTAACCCTAGCCTATCGCCGCCATCCCTAGTAACTATGATTTTGCAATAATCCTGTAGGCGAGCGAACGGGAGAAGAAATTCCGAGGTGCAACCAGTTCCACACCCAGAAACGCAGAGCTGTAGATTGCTTGACCCGTATCCCAAATAGATATCTAGAGAGACTACGGGTCGTGCTGTCGATGCTGAAGGTGCTAGTTAATCTCCTCCCTAACCATTTTAGCTTGTGGTTTAACATGATCCGTAGCCCTACTTACTCCATTTTGCTCGTTTCGTAGGACTTGAAGAATTCGGTTTCTGAGTAAATATCTCAGCGCATATACACTCTATAGTTGGTATATACAGTGTAATTCATATGCTAGAAGATATATAATATCATATGTTTCATTTTCATTGAATAATATTGATGAAGTGTACTCCGTATTAGAAGTTCAATGCTTCAAAAATTACTAGTACACATGAATTTACATGAGTGTATGAAGATTGCAGAATTGTTATCAAAGAAAGTACTCTATAATTTTATACAAAAGCTAATACGAAACAGAAAAATAAATATTTATTTTGTATTTAAATTTTAAGAATAATAGAGCTGTCACATACAAACGTATGGGTTTTTCTCATTAAATCAATCTTATAACACTAGTAATATGAATACGAATGCATGTAAATTTATACAAGACAGTATCTCAATTTTACATTGTGTATTATGCGATTAATTTTCAGTCGATTCTTATATGCGTTTTATGAGATATATAAAATGTATAGTAGATTGTAAATTACGAATAAGAAAAAATAAATATGATTACTATTCCTATTTAGAATCTCCTTTTGGTATGAGAGAATGGAGTTCGAAGGGGTGGTTGATCGCGTTAGATAATCACGCAACTAACTCACGGATAAGCTTTATCGAAGCCGCAGCATAAACGACATACATAAACTATCCGCGTTAACGACACCGAATACAGTGACAGATACAGCTAACTGGCAGTTGAATGATAGTTGCGCTCATAATATCTGGCAATACCCTGCGAAGTTAACCCATATCCCCATTGTACTTCCTCCGACGCCATGTCGTCGTTCTTCTTTTCCACCCCGGTCGATATCGACATCGTTCTGGAGGATAGCGACGAACGAGAAACCGTCGACATCAAGCTGGATAAGAACAGGAGGGAAAAGGCGCCGTTGTACATGGATGGTGAGTCCGTGAAGGGGGCAGTAACGGTGCGGCCTAAGGATGGGAAGCGATTGGAGCATACGGGAATTAAGGTCCAATTCATCGGAACAATCGGTATAGAGAAAGCGTCAATCCTTCTCCCTTTAATATCCATCTAGTTTGAATTCCATCTAACGCAACGAGAGCCATTTAGAGATGTTTTTCGATCGAGGAAACCACTACGAATTCCTCTCTTTTGGTCAAGAGCTTGCTGCCCCTGGCGAGCTACAACACCCGCAAACCTTCCCTTTCAACTTCAAAAACGTCGAAAAGCAATATGAATCTTACAATGGCATCAATGTCAAACTGCGATACTTCGTCAGGGTGACGGTTTCGCGGCGGATAGCGGATGTTGTGCGGGAGAAGGATATATGGGTTTATTCATACCGCATGCCTCCAGAGACAAATAGCCCTATCAAAATGGACGTGGGGATTGAAGATTGTTTACACATCGAATTCGAGTATTCAAAATCCAAGTACCATCTCAAAGATGTTATTGTGGGGAGAATATACTTCTTGCTTGTGAGGCTGAAAATAAAGCACATGGAATTATCGATTATCCGCCGCGAAACAACTGGATCGCCACCTAATCAGTACAATGAAAGCGAAACGCTGGTGCGGTTTGAGGTACTTTACAATTATGTTTTTCCTAAATGGGGTTGTTGCTTCAGCTTGATATTCCACTGTGGAAAGCCTGCCGAAAATGTGACATTTGCTAACAACCCCTTGTTTGTAGATTATGGACGGCTCCCCATCAAGAGGTTTGTCAGACAATCCTCTTCCGGGTGGATATAGTCCACAATAGTTTCCTTCCATTGTTGAAATGCCATTACATATCATTCAGACTAGGCTAACATCTATTATTGCCCCACGAATAGGAGAAACAATACCCATCCGGTTGTTCTTGGGTGGTTTTGATTTAACCCCAACTTTCCGCGATGTGAATAAGAAGTATTCTACCCGATACTACCTAAGCTTGGTGCTCATAGACGAAGGTGGGTTTCGAGTTGATGCTTGGATTGCTTTTAGTTTTGCCAATTTGGAACATGGGTTTCAAACAACTGTCCCTATCCCTGCCTTTGGTGGAAACATTTTGTCATTGGCTATTGAAAATATGCTCTTCACAGCGCACCTAAATGATGCAATTGGTTGTTGCCAGTCATTTGGACCTGTTGACTCCAATATGACCCCCACGTCTAATGGTTTCATCCGCACCCACGCTAAAGATTCCTCATCCCTCGCTTCCCACGCAGCCAGTTATTTTCTCCATATCCCTTCTATCCCTGTTGCAAAATATATTACCCGGAATCCAACAAATATGACCTCCGGCTATTTAGTCTCAGCGCTGTCATCCCTGTACACATAATCAAGGGAAGGAAAAATATCGCTGTATAAAATTGCTAACAAGGAATTTTTCTAGATGCCCGTCGATATTTCAAGCAATCTGAAATCGTTCTTTACCGTCAAGCTCCTGAAATCGGCTTGACCCCTGAGGTTGCCCAGCAACAAATTGCTCAACAGCAACAGCTCCAAGGTGAACCTACTACCTCAGCAGGCCCAACAAAAGACATGCAGACGGCGTCCTTTGGAAAGCAGCAAGTCGCGGCCCAGGCGTAATTATGAAGGCGGGCGGAAAGAAACGAGCTTGAAGCGGGCGCAAGGACTGTTAGAGAGTGCACGATAATGGCTTGATCGACTGGCGCTTTGGTTTTGTGGTCTTTGGTCTTTTATTTGTTAGTTTCCATTTGTATGGGCAATCATACTGTGTATCACGAATTACTACACCGTGGTTTGTTTATATTATCATACCTTCTTTTATTTTTTATTTTTATTTTTTTTTTTAAAAAAATGGTATTATAATGGAAGGCGTTTAAAAGAGCCCTTTAACCACGTTCCAATTTAATTGTCCATGCGATAATGTTGCTAATGCCACTAATATAAATCATAGACGTTGATCTATGCGTGCTAGCAGGACAGAAGCGGGTATTGATGCCTAAATGGAATTTTATACAATCCCATGACGACGGAGAAAGCATAACTTCAAAGACAGTAAAACAAGAGAAATGATAATATACAAAATAGATGGGAAAAAAGTGGCAGGAAAAAAAATACTGTTTAAATAGCACCCTTGTTTAGGATTGCATGTTGGATCCAATCAGTAAATCAATCATCCTCCCCTGCGTCCGCCTCATCATTTTCATCATGGCCACCAAGTCCATCTCCTGAGAGGTTCACCAATACCTTCTGCAACGCATCTAAAACTCTATTATCATCCCTCTCCTTCCCAGCAACACCCGTCGCCCTCACCACGAAAGGATACACCCAACCAAGATGCTTCTTGTACATCCCTGAATTATTACTACCTTTTCCACTTCCTAGTGGTGCAACAGGACCCGCATCGGGGATCGCAGCCGGTTCGCTTCTGAGCTCGACGAGCCGATGGAGTAGATATAACAATTCCTTCTGCGCCGGGGTTGGTTGGGGCATGAGTCCGCGCAGTGGTTGGTCGGCGATATAGGATTTTAGAGATATTGCGCAACGGAGAATTAGATATGGGGATACGGATTTCGCGAGGATTACATATTGGTTTTCTGCATCCTGAGGTGCTAGTTTCGACGGATGTGCCAAAACCCGAGCTTTGTGGGAAGGTGATTTGCTGGAATGTGTTGCTGCAAGGTCAAATAACGAGTCGATCATTAAGAAGGCCATTTTTAATCGGAGAGTGGGAGGCGGGTCGTATGTGCGTCCCATACGAATTTTATATAAATCCAGCAACGGCTCTTTTTCAAGCGTCGCGCTCGGTAGATCGGAATGCTGTATTGGATAGACAAAAGATGAGCTGAAAAGCGCGCAGGCGAATTGTCGTCTCGTTCTATCAGGGATTAAAGGTGACCCGAGTGATGGTATTACTATGTCACGGAGGCGGGTGAATGCTGTTACATCAAATTCTTCATCGCAAATTACTCCGGATTGAATGTTCGATTTCTTGTAGTCGAACGCAGAAACAATCCCTCTCGAGATGTCAACGACGCAGTTCCAAAAATCAACAAGCTCTTTTTTGCTGGAATTAGATTGTTCACTCTCAACATAGGGAACGGCAACCTGGAGAATATCAAGGGAAACGGAGGTGGCCACCCGCCAGAGAGCGGGGTCGTGGTCGCTTCCATTCCACTTATATTTATGAGCTATTTGGTTCGAGAGGTGCTCAAGCGCCCTCGTCAAAATACCATTCGAGAAGATGTCGGTGAGAATGCCATGTTCTGCAACATACCAGCCAAGAAGTCGCATCGCAGACTTCGAGAATGCCACAAATGTTGGTTTTCTATTATCTTGGCCGGCTGACCATTTCGTCAACGCGCAATCAGAAAACTCTGCAAGACAAGTAACTAAGGCCGGTTGAGAAGATGTTTTTTCCAGACATATTGTCTTCAAGGATTCCATAGTAAGTGACTGCAGTTCTGACTGGTGGTCGACATCTCGGGTGTAGCGTGAGGACACAGACCTCCAAACAGAAATTTGTAGATTTTCAAGCACTTGATAAATTTGAGTGTCGGTCAATATGTCCTTCAGGAGTCGGTAGAGTTGCTTAAAAGACTTTAGATAGGCTATCAACGCATTTTGATTTTGCACATCCAAATCGGGCTGTTCATCTGGCGCAATTGGGTGACCATTAACCCAGACAGCCCACGCAGACTCCAAAGATTCCATTTTGATATCATTGTAGCCACGAATTCGTGAGAGGACTTCTGAAAAACTAGAAAAGACAGCTTCGTCCAACTCGAGGACTCTAATTTTGATAATAGCTTCGAGGTAATCTAGGAGCCGCTTCCACGATTGAGAAAATCCCTCATCCTGTGCGATAGTGTCGAAGTACCCAGCAATTAAATTAGACAATCCTTTAGTCAAAATCACAGCTGTTTCTATCCATGTCTTCATCTCGTTTGAACCAAGGGGTTCTGAGGTCTGTTGGGCCATCAAAACTTCCTTTTGAACCGACTCTGTCATAACAAAGAGAACCTTATTCAAACACAAATGCCAAGCTTTTGGTGGGAGCTGTTGGCCATACGCGTCAAAAATGCGCAGTGCGGTCTGGATTGCAGCATTACGAATCTCTGAGCGGCTATCTGTGCTTAAATCGGCAATGCGTAACAGAAGAACTAACCATAATGAGTTCCTCGAAATCAAGAGATCGGAGGATTTGGCTAATTCGGTCAATGTCTCCTCGCTAGAAAAGACCTCAATATGGCTTTCGATGGAAAATTTGTCGACCTGGCTGCGAAGAAAATCAGAAAGGTTCCAAAACGAGGTCGTGGAAGTGAGAGATATGTTGAAATCTTCCACTTGTGACGCAAAGCTTGAAAATGCCTTCACTAGCTCTAAGAGGCAAGAGGACGATAGCAAACTAAGGAAATCGGAAGCGACAAGCTGCAACGAGCTGTATGCTGTTCTGACGAGTCTTGCGGACTTGACGGTTAAATTTCCCCTAGGCTTGTGAACATTGTTAAGCGAGGCGCATTCGTCCCCATTCTTTGAAATACACCTGAGGTCATCAAATACACTTGATATCAAGTCAAAAACCAAGTCCCATCCAGCAATCAATGATTCTCCACACTCTTCAAGAATTGATTTTAGAGCCTCAAGAGCAATCTCATGTATTTCAAAATCGGACGCACGCTGAGAAGAATTTGAGTTCGAACAACAGTCATATAATGTCGAGATCTGGGATTTCAAGGCGCGCAATCCACGAAGTTGGACCTGGTTCCTAATGCCCGGGTCATCGGAGTTTCCCAGTTTGATGGAGTGGAACACAATGTTGTCAAGAACATGGCTTGCATTTGAACGTAGAGATTGATTGATTTGAGTATTTTGAGTAATTGAGACGAGATCCCCTACTAAAATGTGCCAAATTCCTTCCTCATCGTCGGGGAGAGCTAATCGTTCGAGGTTGGACTTTGCCAAATCGTTCACTTTGGCTAAGACGAATTTCAACTCGTCATCCTGGATCCTCGACTTTCCCAAAGCAATAGAAATACTGCGTTTGTTCTGATGTATACGCCCCAGTGCCTTAGAAGACGGGGTGAATTGTGATGGTACCGGATGTTTTCCAGAGCTAACATCTGCTATACCCCTATCAGTCTTTTCAGAGAGGCTTAAGAGAGCAGACAAAAGGCTCTTGAACGAAGTACTAGGATACTCTCCAGTGCTCTCGAACATTTTAGCTGCTGCTGTTTCAACAGCTATTATCTCGGCACCAAGGTTGACCTTGGAAGGCTCGGGGGTGAGGGGTGCATTCCTGTCGCCCCATTTGTTCATAGACGCAGGCTTTGGGGTAGCCATGGTCGAAACGTTTAGTATTAGCTCGGCATGCTGAAGCGTTTCAAGAATTATCAACCAGGCAGCTTGATCCAGGGTTGGTCCTAGCGCAATTCCTAGGTTAAGTAAAGCTCGTAGGCATAGTAAATTACGAGTGCTGAGAGCAGTAGGAGTTTTATCAGCCGTCGAAGCCAACGCGTCGGTGGCTATTGTGGACTTGGGCATAGATGATTCGGTAGCGAGAGCATCCTGGGAGTCTATACCAGGAGAATTTAGTGACACGGTGAAGTTACTAAGGTCGGCTGGAACAGCGGCCTTCCCTAGCGTAGTGAGAAAAGCATCTCGTGGTGTAGACAACCTCAGGAGCCCAGCAACATGGGTTAACTTCTGGAAAGATCGGACAAGGTTGTGATAAAATTCACCATCTAACGCGGCATATAGAAAGGTAGAACATGTGGCTAGAATGGCAGGCCAGCAGGTGTCGATCATGCTCGTGATAGCCTGGATGTCATTGATTTGAGGATGTGACGTGAGATCCAACGGGTTTATAGGAACAGATAGTTTATTCGAGGCTCTGCCGGAGTTTTTACGCTGAAGTGCAGATTCGTCCCCTGCTTTTTTCGATATCGAGGCTCGATGCTTCCGTTTGCTTTTAGATTCAGAAGCGGTCAACGGAAGGATAAATTTAGCAATACTCTCCGATAGCGTACTGATACAGTTGAGGGCAAGACTGTAAATATATGTCTCAGGGAGTATTGGAGCATCGATCTTATCTAACGTTTCGAGGTATGGCGTCCGAACGAGGCTCCACTGGCTGCTGATACCACACGTGCTTTCCTTTGTTGTGGGGCTTCCGATAACGCCAGCGACAGAAACAGCCTCAAGGGTGACTTGTTCATCCATCATATTTCTTGAGTTTGATGGACCCGTTGGCAAGGTTGATCGGTGACTGACACCGATAAGGTATGGCTTTTCGGATGCCAGCTTCACTAAGCAAGCCATATGATCGCAGACGATATTTCTGCGACCTTCTTCAGTATCGAACAATATGTAAATAAGTCTGATAAGTTCGGAGTCGGAATATAATCCCCTGAAGATTTCCATGCAAAGAACACGTTTCCAGGGCACTGCCGCATCAGCATCAAGTAAATGGATTAGAAGCCCTAGTGCCATTTCGCATTCTGTGACTAATTGGAGTAGATACTCCCTGAGTAAAAGGAGCAATATCCTAGCCACACGAACCGTTAGAGGAAAACTATACCGCCCAGAAAAATGTTTCACGGTCAACGGCATCAGCCGGTTACGAAGAACGAGAACTTGTTCTGGATGTTTGGCAAAGATATGACCGTTGTTGACCAGGATACTCTCGATCAATTCGAGGACGAAAATCTTGGAAAGAGATTTGATGTTGAGAAATTCTAACTTTTCTCCTTCAACCAAGCGACAAAGATCATCCAAAATCTAGGATGAAGGTTAGTAACGAAGCTCGTATTTTCCAACTTGTAAATTATAATTTACCCTCAAAGCATCATAACTGGCAGAAGTTAAATAGATCTGCTGGTCGTATAGTGTTACAGGAAAGCTGAGAACGGAATCTGGCATCGCTGTGACAGTGTCAATACGATATAAATTAATATCGAAACCAGATAGAGGCCAGTTGACATACCATCCGTTTTTGAAACCTTGTCGAAAATAGAAACCACAAGCTGCTGCATTGTAGCGGCCGCTGTATTCGAAACAGACGACGTCTTACTATTCTGGAGTGTGGCACATATTTCCAATGTATTTGCGAGGAGCGGTCCATTCAACTCAATTGCATAATACTGAAATAGCGCCCCGAGAGTTTGCAGAACCTTAAGTTGGACATCGAGCCCTGTCAAGTCATTAGCATCAGTATAACAGCTACCAACTAAGAGAAAAGACTAGTAACCTAGGTTCGTTGTTTGATGAAGCCCATCAAGTACATCTCTGAAACCCTCTGGCGGTAGTGCCCGGGATGCCACCAATCTCTGGATGCCGACCACCCCGATTGCCGCAAGCCGACCATGGTTAGTTTGACAAGCAATCACAAATGGCTTTACAAAATGGGGTTTCCGGATTAAATCTCTTGAAACGTTAGTTAATAGGAATATCTGTATTTTTTTGATTTTAAGCAAACCTGCTGCTAGTTGGGCTTCCGAAGTTGATGGTAACCCCTTGAGATCTGCTAGGGACTGCTCAGCTGCCTGAAAATCCAGTGTGAGCAAATTTTCATTTTGGAAGTGTGGAAGGTAGTTTTACATTTTTTAGATTTGAATTCTTCCGTTTCGACTCTTGTATCAAATTTGAGAGCTCCGTCTGCAGGATATGGGATGTCATGTCAGATATCAAATTGCGCTCAGTGATATCAGGCGCGATTTCTCGCAACTCCAGAAGCAACCCAGCTCTTAGTAGAGAGGAGTGCGAGACCAGGCCACATACGGCATCAGCGAAGAGCGAATAGCTAGAACTAGTTCAATAATGCAAGGCCCTTCAAGCCTGCAGACATCTAGATACCGTGGAAACCAGGTTAAGGATGCTTGGTGTTGATGTTGTACAGTGGCATTTTAGGACTCACTTCCGCGGCTAGCTATCTGCGCAATGGCGCTACAGTCACATGATATGACGCAGCACGTGCCCCGCGCTTAATCACTAAGCTTTAGAGACGAACAGACATGCGACACATCCAACCCCTCTTTAATGCCATATTCTCTACTTTTGATATTGCAACTTTACCTTCACCAATTTTTTGAAAGGTTTCCTCGAGATGGCTGCCGTGGTTCCTCGGAGCTTCCGTTTACTGGAAGAGCTTGAGAATGGCGAAAAAGGACGCGGGGCAGGTATGTATGCTCCACCAGGTAAAATCATTACATTTCTCATGCTCATTATGTTCAATCTCTCGATTAATAGAAGCATGTTCCTATGGCCTTGCCAACGGGGACGATGTAAAAATGACGAATTGGAATGGAACAATTCTAGGGCCCCCTCATGTGCGCCCAATTCTCCTCACCACACGTATTACTGGCAGCTCAGTTTAACATTTTGTGAAATAGAGTGTGCATGAGAACCGGATATACAGCGTCAATATTAAATGTGGTGAAAATTACCCCGATCTTCCGCCAACTATCCACTTCGTTTCCAAGGTGAACCTTCCCTGCGTCGATCCGCGAAACGGTAAAGTATGTGGTTATGCCTTCTTAGAAAACCCGTCTGACGGAGTGTGTGATGCTGATGCTCACTAGGTCGATCTGACGAAGCTACCCCGACTTGCTATATGGAAGAGAGAGTTTACGATGGAGACCATTCTGCTTGAGATTAGAAGGCAAGCAAAATGCTATAAAGCGATGCCCGGGATATCCATGCTTACTAACTCCTTGTAGATTCATGGCTCTACCGGAAAACAAGAAAATCCCTCAGCCCCCGGAAGGATCTAACTTTTAAGTGGCTATTTTTGAAGATGGCTCCCATTATGACGCGACGGGAGCATTGCTTTGAGGTTGTTGTTTTCCTTCTTTGCATGCATTTAGCCTTTCATATGTTTTATGATCATTTTAGGGGCAGACTTTAGCGTAACCAAATATGAGCGGACATAAACTTCTAGTTTATAGAATGCGAACATGCCATTTTCTCTTCTGCAGATCTATAAGCGATTGTTCCCATGCAAAGCCTTTCCGTTTACCATGCAAATATAATACGGAAGGTGGTTGTAGGGAAATCCGATCACGTGATTTAAAGCTACCCAGGCATCCATCCAGGATCTCAGTTCCAACTTTGGAATGAAAAACAGTCGGGTTGAAAATTCCAGAGGATGTTGAAGCAAAGCTAACGAAGAATTCGATTGTTTTTATTCGAATGCCGAGGTTTCTGTTACCCAAGAGCTCGGGCGCCCATAGGCTAGCATGTAGGTTTTCCTTACCGTATATATGTACTTAAATCATCCAACTCATAATCTTTCCAGGTCTTTCACTCTACCATGCTCTCTTGTCTCAATCCGCCCGCCTGCACTTAATCCAACTCCAACCTGCGGAAATACAGGGCCTAATAAAATCTAACTTTCACAAATATAAATCCCTGCAAAGTCCCAGCCAGATCGCCAACGCTTTGAAGGCCGGCTATGAGGTTAACACCACCATCCAGTACCTAACCAGTTCTACCTCACTTACATGCTAACTTTATGTTACGCAAGGCATTGGATTTACTCCATTCGTGCACCCAGGCAAACCCAGAGAGCATTGACCGGCTTGAATCAATCGTTCAGCGCGCTTTCGATCTCAAAACCAATATCCACAGGAGCCGGGAAATCCAAGCTGCCCAACACCGTCCGGAGAACCGCAACACGCACGCGCTAAGGAAAAGAGCCGAAGGCAGAGCAAGAAGGCGTCCGGAAGCTCTCCGTCCACACCCTGATACTGAACCGATTTTATCACGCCCAAGGGCGCATATCAATGGGCCTCGCCGTGTTCCCGTACTTGTCGATGCCCGTGGGATTCCATTCCTTCGAATCAAAAAGCCAGAGCCTCCGAGTTTGAGTCGCGTCTTGAGGAGTAAATTAGACGCACGGTGGAAGAAGATCCTTCGTCGGGACAAGTTGGAAGATGATGTTTACCTCGCGCAGCAAGAGGACAAGTGGGATGCTATCGTGGATCAAAACAACGGTGGCCGCTGGGAGACAACTGTTGCCGAGTGTCTTGATTATACTATCAAAACAATACAACATGAGGATCAGAAAAATAAAGAGCTTGCGCAGAAGATGTGGGAGGTCGTTCTGAAGGAGCGGGAGCTTGCGGAAAAGGAGAAGGAGGAATTCAGAATTCAGCGGCTAGCACAGGCAGAATCTGTCAATGGGGTTGCAGCGGTTCGCGAATCTAAACATGAAGTGAAGGGTATCGCTGCTGAAGGGAGCAAGGAAGATATTGCAGCTGAAAAACATGACAAGCGCCCCTAACGGTGATGCTGAGAAGGTGTACATTGTACTGTATATGTGCAGGCTCGCCCCTTGTAGTGAGATACCTCTCATCTGGGTACTTCGGCAAGTTAGTGTGGATGTCGCGAGATACATAGCCGGTATGTTGGAAGGGGTTTAAACCATCCAAACCAAAGGCTTGGTTGTAATAGCTAATATTCAGAGAATCACAGAAACCCGATCTTAAAGCAGAGACTTCTGCTTAAGATATATAGTTCACCGTAAACGTCGAACTAAGGTACATACATAGAAGAAGATTTGGTACAACTTATACAGACCATGCAGCAGTGCATCATCAGTTCTTGCAGGGCGAAATAAAGAAGAAAAGAAAAACATAAGCATTCGGAAAGACATTCGGAACTTTGCGAATGCAGTAACATCACGATTAATGACTTTCGCGCATATCTTGCAACCGGAGAAACGAATAGGTCCGGGAGTTTGTTATTTGCCATTGGGCTACGGGGGATATTCTTCACCTAATACCGCAAACTTGCAAGGGCCATGATGCTAACTCAACATCTAGTAGACTTATATAGTATAAAGGAAAATATCAAAAGCTAAACTTTACGATACCAATTCCAGTTTTTCCATACTGGCTGGTATAGAATCAACATAGTCCTCATCATAATCCACCTTACCAGCTAGGCCTTTCTCCCACAATTCCTTCCCAGTAAGTTTTTTCTCCTCCTTGATAGTAACCTTCCTCTTTTTGTCATCTGCTTCCTTTTCTTCCTGCTTCCTTCGTTCTAGTTCTTCCATCTCGTTCTGGAATCTAGCTCTCCACTCCAGAAATGACTCCCGCGTCACAGCCGTGCCATGAAATTTACGATTCTCTTCTTCTTCTGCCTTGGCAGACTCCATTTCCTTCAATGCTTGGACGGCTGCTTGTCGTTCGGATATAAGAAGCTCGGCACCCTCCTTCAACGTATCAACAATAGTAAATATCATCGCCATTCCCATGTTTTCCTCAATGGTGGACTGCAGCGACTCCAGGAGCCGGTCACGGTCTTCTTGTATATCAAAGTGGGTGTGTTTGGGTGCATTAGGCGGCGTGGAGAGTTCGAGATCTGGAGCAACGTCTGGATATTGTGGCGGGTATGAAACTTGAAGGATGAGGGTGGGAGGCTCTTGATCATCGTCTCCCTGGGGGGTAACATCCAATGTTATTGATATTCGATATGTGGTATCAGATATATCTGTAGGTATTAGTTACGAGCGTAACAAGACCTTGGAAACAAAAAGGCGATTGTATTAAAATAATCACCTGTGATTTCGTCTGGAAAAATAGACCTGAGCGTCTCCCTTTCTTCTTGCTGATCTTCGATTCCCATGATGCTTTTGCTTCAAGCGCGAAGCTTGCAAGAGGGGTAAAACGGGGTTCAATGCCCTTTTCCAGAGTAATATGTCAAAACGATCAAACGTGAGATGCTGGTGGTGTTATTTAACAGGCGATGTCTCTGAAATGTGCGACTCAGGACGAATTCCGAACTTATTTTTTAACGTGGACGTGAGGATACTTTCTTTAACTGTGCACTTAGCCCGAGACCTTTCGCGATGAGATCAAGTTTCCCCGTCTCATATGCAAACAAAACAAACTTTTTTTTTTTTTTCGAAAACATATAAATACTATTTCTCGGTCGCATACAAGATTTACTTTTTGGCAGTCAATTACGTCAAACAATAGAAGTGATCAGGTATTGTCCCGCTATTTACTCCGTCACTAGGCTATATAGTCAATACATCCCATATGGCCAAAACGCGGCCCCCCAACAAATCTTCAAAGAAAAGAGCAAAATCTGGCCTTCGTGATGGCAGCAGATCTACCTGGAGGAAAATGAATGAAGATCCGGCAATTTTTTTCGACCAAGCCACCATATTCCTCCAAACAGGGCAACCGGAAGCCGCTCTCCCTCTTGCACAACGCGGGTTGGATATAGCTTCAGCCGGATCACCCGCTGTGTTAACAGGTCTGAACTTAATCGGCGAAATATATGTTGAGTTAGGAGAAATCGATGCGGCGCGACAACAATTCATGCAAGCCGTTGCTCTAGATCCGAACGGAGAAATTCCTGAATCAGAAGGAGGAGGTGCAGAGAAATTTTTATGGCTTGCGCAATTGAGCGAAACTGGTGGCAAGGATAGTGTAAGCTGGTTCGAAAAAGGAGTCGCAAGTTTGAGACGGAACATACAATCGTTAGAGCAGAGCCGCAAGCTGGATGATGGGTTGGCTGCGCAAGAGCAGAAGAAAAAGTTGGCACATGCTTTATGTGGAGTGGTAGAAATATACATGACCGATCTATCGTGAGTTTCCTATTGTTCGCAAAATTCATTAAAAAATAAAATGCCAATGCTGAAGTGAACCTTCTAAACCAGATGGGAAGAGGATGCGGAAGCTCGATGCGAAGCATTGGTTACAGAGGCTCTTTTGGTTGCCCCCGATTCCCCAGAATGCTTGCAAACATTGGCTTCGGTTAGGATATCACAACTTCGACAAGACGACGCCCGGGCTGCGCTGTCAAGAAGCCTTCAATTATGGAAAGACTTACCACCGGAAAGCCCCTTGGTGCCAGACTTCCCCACACGGATAAGTCTTGCTAGATTATTAATGGAAGTCCGGATGGAAATTGAAGCGCTTGAAGTGCTAGAAAGAATGGCTCTTGAAGACGATCATAGCGTTGAGATGTGGTATTTAGGCGGGTGGTGTCAATATTTGCTCGGGAAGGGCGAAAAGCTTCCCGCCAATAAGTACGGCCTATCAGAATCGGAACTCCGACAAGCTACATTACGTTCCAGCAGGAGCTGGCTAAAACAGAGCTTAAAGCTTTACAAACTAGTTGAGTATGAGGATTTGAAGCTGAAGGAACATGCTGAGGAACTCGTCCAAGATCTCCAGAATCAGCTGGGCGAGGATGGTGACGATAGCGATGATGGCGAAGACGTGGACGGAGAGTGGGAAGATGAAAGCGACGGTTTAGATGATGACAATGATAGTGGCAAAGACGAAGATCAGAAAATGACGGACTCATGAAAGGCTATTAAGAGAAAGGAGTAATGCAAAGAAGCGAGGAAACTGCTCTGGTAATATCCTCGTGTCCGTTTTCTATCTATGATACCAATTAGAGCAGAAATGGGTTTGGTTATGTTTTCGCATGGTAGGATCATGGAAACGACTAGAGATACATATATATAAATGAACTGGTTTCATGAAATTAAATAGATCCTGTAAAGGTAGCAAGGAGTGTTTTATTTCCATATCCGCTGTGGCCCCTTTGTTCCTGGCCGGATTAACGTAGTCAACCACCTAACGCCCGTTTACACCCCAACGCCTGTGATTTTCCATATAAAATCTATGAATGATCATCTATTGATATCTCAACACACACCATATTGAAATCATATATTATATGTAATTTACTTATCCAAATATATATATTAATATTTAAACAGTTTAAAATTTAAACTCATTAGTATACTGTTGACTTATAAATCTGTATTATACTTTTGCTCATAAATTACACATACAAATTATGAGAGTGGTATTCAGATTACAGTATTGTCATCATAAGATGTACTTAGTATTTTTTATTAAAAATTGTGTATGATATAGAAAACTATATTGTCATTTCAAAATATGAATTATAATAGAAAATAATATATTTGAAAGAAGTTATTCAAATATTACAAAATAATCAATTTTTCTCATAGAAATGAGAAAATAACAACTAGTAATTCAAATACATCTCATATAAATTTGTATGAGAAAATATTCTCAATATTTACACATGTAATGCACATCATATAACACAGCCTGATAGAAAAGTAAACTTTTTAAAAGATATATATTAATAAGAAATTATAATTTACCACTTATAAATTTATTATAATAATCTGTGGTTGAGATATGAGTGTTAAATTTATGACAATTTGTATGGGAAAATGTGGGCGTTAGGTGTAAACGGGGGTTAGGTGTGGACTACGTTATCATAAACTTCCGAACACCTCGGAAATATTGGTATTATTAATACTTTTCATGGTCAAACTGCGACACACGGCCTTCTCACAACAACCTCCACCAATGTAAGCTACCGGAGCGGAGCTTACTTCTGGCTGGGTCTCGTCGTTCTTCTTGTCGAGATGGATGTCGCGCCGGCGCTGGCGAAAGAGGAGCTTCCCTTGAAATCAGCAGTAGTGAAGGTGGTCGATGTCGCTACGGAGAACGGAGTGATATCAGCAGGCGCGCCTGATGTCAGCGAGGACGTGTCAAACCCCGAGTTCGACACGGAGGACGGCGATTCTGGCGCTTCGGGGGATTCTGAAGACTCTGATGATAACTGGGAGACTGAGTCACTTTATGAAGATTCATTACAGTTTGTCCGCGATGACCAGCTACACGACGGTAAGGGAAACTCCTTTTCTTTTTCATTGTCCTTTTTTTTAGAGTTTTTTTTGTCTTTTTGTTTTTTGGGGCCAAATGCGCCTTTAACTGGCGTTCTCTTTCCAGGAAATCAAAGCACTGACTGATAAAATAATGATCCAGTTCCTGATGCATGTACGCCAGAGGAGGCCGCTGCCTTTCGTGGGCGCCTTCACGAAATCGGAAAGGCTGCTTTCATTGAAGAGACAATAGGGCAGGGGACCATTACTGCCAGGAAACTCTGCACTGCCTTCGGGATCATGCCGCCCACATTTCTTGAAGGCGCTCCAGACAGGGCTTATCATACCTTGCTTATTATAGGAATTGCACGCGAATACTCAAGACGCGTTAAGCTATCACAGTACAATACTATCGATGATGCGGTTGAGCTGCTAAAAAAATCAAAGAATATTATCGTTTTAACTGGCGCCGGCGTAAGCACACTGATAAAGTTGCCATGGGAAGAAAAATAGAACCATACTGATATCCAGATTTCTAGATATCCACTAGTCTCGGTATTCCTGACTTTCGTTCGAAAGATACCGGCTTATATTCTAAGTTAGAGTATCTGGGATTGACCGACCCTCAAGAGGTTTTCGATATACGCCTATTCCACGAGGACCCCAAAATTTTCTACTCTATTGCGAAGGACATCCTTCCGAAGGAGAAAATTTTTTCTCCAACTCATGCATTTATCCGACTTCTTCAGGATAAAGGAAAGCTACTGACGAACTTCACTCAAAATATTGACAACCTGGAAGCAAATGCGGGGATTTTGCCTGAGAATTTAATCCAATGCCATGGCTCTTTCGCGACAGCATCCTGCATCAAGTGCAAGTACCAGGTCCCCGGTGAGCAAATTTTCGAACATGTCCGAAAGGGAGCACTTCCTGAATGTGCTGCTTGCAAAGACCTACTCGCAGCTCAGCCGTGCGGGATGAAAAGAAAGCGCAGTTCAAATGGGTCCATAAAAAAAAGTCGTAAAAGGGAGGATTTTGACGATAGCTCAGAGGGCGAAGACTATGAAATCCCCACCCCTGGCGTGATGAAGGTACGTTATTGTTAATACACTGCCATTAATGAAACCTTTTTTGATACTTCCTAACAATCAAGCAGCCTGATATCACATTCTTCGGTGAAGATCTTCCGAGCGCGTTCTCGCAACGTCTGATAAACCATGATCGCGAACTGGCAGACCTAGTGATTGTGATTGGGACATCACTGAAAGTGGCACCGGTGGCTGAAGTTCCAGGCATATTACCTCGGGATGTCCCTCAAATTTTAATTTCACGTGACGTAAGCATCACCATAGAAGAAGCACCTAACAATCCAGCTAACTCGTTCCCTACCTCACAGCCGGTGTCACATATTGATTTTGATATCGACATGCTCGGTGAATGCGACGTTGTGGTCTCCGAGCTCTGCCGCCGCGCTGGTTGGGATTTACGACACGAAATGATACCCAAAGACCTAACCGTCGAGGTTTCACTGAATGAAGGCTACGTCTCACGATATCGGTTTACTGCTCTGAAGCCATAAGCAAGATACCCTTTATTTCCCACATTTGCTTTTGCCGCGTTTTTCTCTCATCATTGCCACACAAATTGTTTTCCATTTGAAACCCGCAGTTAATCTTGGCCCTCTTAGCACTCCCCTGGGAATCGTTGATAGACTTGCTTTCTCTTTTGTCATGCCATATATCCCTGGTTCGGGTCAGAATCCTTTTTTTCCCTTTTAAACCCAAAGTTTCGTTTGCCGCCACCCTGCTTATGTTCTCTCATAGACGCCTTTGTACCAATATCTCCATGCATTCGTGATTCTTCATTCTCATATATTTTCTTCTTCTGTAGCAATGGATTGGATGACTTATTTGTTAGATGGAATGGCTATTGTTTTCCTGTCCGGGAAGTTCTTTGTTTCATTTGTCCTACTCGCAGAAATGGGTGAAGAGATGTTTGAGTATTCCGTTTCAATTTCAATTTATATTCGGTTCACTTGCTTAGTTCAAATGCTGTGGATTTACGTTGTGGCAAAGAAGTTGAGTCAAGGGATTGGAATGAACAGATGGAGATTATCTAGCAATATTCATGAGGTCATTGAAAAATGGTATGTTTTTAAACATTAGAGTACAATATTGATATTTAAAAATAACCTGTATGTTCCTAGGCAACTATTCACAAAAGCAGCTACATGTACCCGTTTTATATATATAAAAAATGGCAACTTGGTGTAGGTGTATATCACATTGCATCCATCATGGATCGTAGAAAAACTCTATGGGGAATATCTCATATCGAAACTACTTCTTTCTATCCTCCGCTTTCACCCTCATGTGATACTTTCCGTCTCTCATCCATACTCTCTCTTTTTCTATCCTTTCTTCTTCTTTTATCTACCTTCTTCATTGCCTCCTGTGTCAACTCCTGCCGGAACATTTTTTCAATAACATCTTTCTTTCGCGACCGACGGTCGCCAACCCAAATCAAAACACCACCCATTACGTTACACGTAATCGAGCAGCAGAGAATTACAGTTGTAAGGGCGAATGGGCGGACCTTGTAATAGATGCCCCATGTGCATGCGCCCAACGCTATCTGGAATATGGAGTGGAAGTCCAGCAGCACGACAATTGCAATCAAGAGGCGAAGGGGGAAGGCTGTGTGGGTGCTTGTTTCGTGCGGTTTGTAAAATGTGTGTGATCTCGAAAGTTTCTTCTGGTGGTGTTCAAGGTTCTTCTGTTGTTTTGCGTTGAGAACGGAATATTCCTGCTGTTCGGCTTCGTCGTTGGGTTTTTCGTCACTAACTTCGTCAGCGGCACTCATCTCCATGTCGATTTGTTGGTTTGCGTCGTCTATTCTTTTCTTCGGAAGGTCATTTTTATTATGTAGTTTGGGAAGTGCTTTTTCCTTGCGCAAACGCCATGTCATGTGGGCGTAGCGCGCGATAAAAATCATATGGTATGTGTCTATTGCACGAAATGGGGCTAATCCGTCTCCGACTACGGCAAATAAAGCGACTAAAACATTGTCTATGACGTTGATGATATAAAGCTGACGGCCACCAACATTGATCCATCCTAGTTTAAGGAATACCGCGTTAGTTGAGACTTTAGACATTGTGGACAAAATGTTTTGTTGAATTTACGTCACACACCTATCAGGAACAAGACCCAGGCGAGTCCAAAAAGGGTAATCAGTGTCGCATAAAGCGTGACTAGAAACCCAAGCGCTGCACATGGAATATGGTTAGCAGAGTGTCAACCTTGTGCGTCAGGGAAATAACGCGTTCACTTACGTTTCCGGACATACTGCCCGAACCCCTTCATTGACCGTTTGAACTTAGACCTCCGCGAATGAAGCATGTGTCTAACATGATCATTGAGCTCTAACTTATCTACCTCACTCCAACCAGCCAGCGTTGCTCCGTCGGGTAAGACCGCGAAACAGAGTTCATCGATCACTGTTGAACTAGTGCTCTGTAAACGCAATCGTTCTGAAATATCTGTATCCTCTCCTTCGAGTGTTTCGCGATCACTCTCAGGTTCTTCCAGTTTGGGGGCTCCTTCAGCTCGAGGAGTCAACAGGTATGACGGTCTCCGGTTTAAAAACCGCCCAAGATCGGGTACGAAAAGGGAATTTTGAACATTCGTAAGGGTGGTGAGAGTAGATATTTCAGGGTCTTTTTTTTATCACATCATACCGGTTAGTTCCGGCTGCCAAAAAGTCCTGCGGGACAAGCGTTTCCCATACCAATAACGTCGAGAAGATCAACCACTTGGTCTTCAATTGTGCCCACTTCATGTCCACTGACTGTGGCAGCACGAGTTAACCCCAGGGAAGAAATTGCAGCAGCGCTCGTCCTCCGCAATCTCTCTAAACTACCACGCGGAGGCGAGAGCGCACTTCCTTGCGGGACAGTCTCTTCATTTGAAGGCTCCTCTACCAACGAAGGCATAAGTGTTAAGCCTCCTACCGCAGCTGGAGCTACATCAGTCCCATGGTTGACAAATGGCCGGGGATCCGAGCTACTTCGACGACGGGTAGTAATTTCCGGCACATCTTGTCTATGTCTGTGGCTGTCGTTCTGTGGGTTGGTTCGAAGCGTCTCCGAGTTTTCAGAACTAGAGGGGAATCGTAGCACCCGTATACTCGGCCTTCGCGATCGCCCGGCTACAGACGCATTTCTAACATTACCGGACATTGGGGAGGGACGAGATTCAGGAGAGGCCGCCGCCTCCGCAGATTCAATGCGATCCATTAAAGCGCAAGATGTCTCGTCAGTTTACCATGAAGACAGAATTCCAAGGACATATCCTTCCTTAAAATTTGAAAGTATAGCGCATGCCAATGTCTAGTTCTTCCAAGTGCTTCGGGGGGGAAAAATAGAATTATTAATCGTCATACATGGGCCTTCTGACTAATGAGGCTAATCAGGCCTCACGTCATCGTACCGCGGCGCTAAGACCACCATTCCACCCCGACGCTGGGTTGGACCTGGCCCAGGTTTTGGAGGAGTCGACGGGAACGTTTGGCGGGCCATATTGTGGCAGTCTTGCAGAGACTGGTCGGACTGCTAATTACGCGCTTCATTATCACAGATTTTTGCCGTCTGTAACCATAACGAAAGCCCGAGCGTATCTATGGATGCGATAGCCGGGCGTTCGACAACCGGAAAAGCAAAGTATTTTCACCTTCTAAAGTAGAATGCAGATAATGTTTCGCAACAGATCCGCGGATAGCCTGGCTGTCTTTAGGTATTTATCAAGTTATTGTGTTGAGATACCTAATTCTTGACTAAGATCTAAGGCTGATGGTTGTTTGATACCTAGGTAATATCAAATCAGGAACGCGCTCTTAGATAATCTATCTTGATATTCTTTCATTGGTCTAGTACTCTGCTGGATATTACTGCGCCTTTTGATGAGTCGCCCGACACCAAGGTTTCATTTCTGGCCAATTTCCAAACCTCTCATTGTTCACCTGTCCTAGCCAGGAATCTGTTTTAATGCCAACAGATAGATCACCACTTGGAGAATGACATGATATTGACACTCAAAATATATTCGGTATCACTTTGAGTGGGTTTGCGTTGTGAATGTCCAAAGGCAAGATCCATAGCCAAGTCTGCTACAGTGCATGATATCTGGAGCTGAACAGGGTTTCCAATTCCTGTCGTATGATTCGAACTTCATTCTGTTTATGGGTGCCCAACGCAACTCCGCCTAGTTCTGCATCTGTGTCCACCGATATATCCTCACAGAGCCTCATCCATCTCAGCAAAGCGTGGAGAGTCGCTAGGCTTCACTAAATGTATTTTAATTTTAAACATCATTTCCGCATCGATCAACAAACCCAGAAGCGAAGCGGCGATGCAATACTCTGGGCTATCCACCGGGGACACACAGCCTCTTTGACTATGAAAAACTTCAGCGGGATCTCAGTTGTCTCGTCGGCTCCATATACGCTTAGCCAGCACTTGGGTTTCCGCATCCCAAACAGGCGTGTTACATGTGGTTCCAATTACAGAATGAGCGTATGAAACGGCATACTATAAAGCCATGAAGTGCCGGACTATGGGCGTCTTTAAAGATCCATGACGAGGGATCTTCACCGACCACTTTTCTATCATTACAACTTCACTTTCAATTTACATGTCATTTGTTAAGAGCAAAATTTTCTCTTTGTCGAAAAGGTCATCAACTACAAACTACCACCTCTCTTGCCCACCATGCCGGACTTCGCAGTGTGGAGCCCTATTGTTTCATTTCTCAACTTAATCCAGTATATAAATGGGCTTGTTGGTGCACAAGGAGAAATGCGAACTGCGGATGACATTATAGGTTGCACTTCTGACCTACTTATCGGCGTCAAATATGATTTCGAGAAGCTTCAAGATCATCTACTACGTTCACGCAAGAGATTTACCGAACGCCAGATCGACCGCACTGGTAGAGAGGTGAAAAAGGCGCTGAAGATAATATCTGATAACAAAGACCAAAATGCGGGCAAAAGACGGATCAACGACATCTGCTGGGTCCTAAAAAACAAAGCAAAATTGCAGACGTGCTTAACTGCACTTCTTCTATACCACGTCACACTATTGCAGATACGCTCGGAATTGGCTTTCTTGGAGAGCACAATGCCTTGGACAACGGATCGTTTTGGTGTGGAACTCAGAACATTTTCGAATCCACGTTTAAGGTCACCAGTTGATATAAACAGCCAACCTAGAGCGCTTGCCTGGGCTGAAGGTTCGATCACCTTTTAAAATGCATTGTATTTAACCCCTCAGAAACTAATTATTTTTGGATATAGTCTACGAGTACACAAATGGTATCCAACACACTCCCCCAATCTCACAATCTCGACAAGGATTTCCTCCCCTGCCTTCAATATCCTACGCGAGTAGCCCCTTTACAGTTTCCCCGCGTTACTCCGATCCCGGGGATTTGGGCGCGTGGCTTCTTCAGCAACGCCATAATGCTGACCGTATGCGAGATTAATGAGTTGTAGTCGATCCCATCATGATTTATATCTCGATATCTCTGTTGGCACCATATCTATGTGGGTCGCCTTTTCCGTGTGTGCTACGGATAATGCCTTCATAGTGAAATTAAACTATCGAAAACAAAACCACCTGGATATATCTATCATTTGTTGTAAATAAACTGAGCCTGACTACTTTGGAGAAGTGCAGAAGGATTTCTTACTACTTGAAGGCTTATTGACATAATCTCAAAAAGAAAAAAAAAAAAAAAAAAAAAAAAGCGAGAAAAGGTAACAGCAGAAAACCCGAGGTGCCAAAATTCGAAGAGGCTGCCGGACAACAAAAGTTACCAAAGGAAAAAGCTTATGCACCCATCCCTGCCTTCATGAATTCTTCTTTTCCCCGCATCACACTAGGAAACACGATATCGGCATTTTCGCCCCAATTGAACACCCAGCTTTCGGGATGTCCGTCTGTCATGCTCCTTATCTCACTCGCCATTCGACAGAGAAGGAGGAGGTGATTAATCCGCTTCCCGTCTGCTGGATTCTCAGCGTACTTTTCGAGGGCATTGCTTAGGTTCCGGGCAACGCTAGTTTCTACATCATGTTTAAGCGATAGTTTCCGAAATGAAAGGATGTCGATAAAACGGAATAACGAAGGGCTCTACTTTACCATCCAAGCGCTTCTCTATAATATTGGATATGACGGTCCGCGCAATATATCTGAGGATCGATGCCCCGCTGTCGTCGAATTGCGTGCGATAGAAATTGATCGAGTGCTGATCAATGAACAGTTTAAATGAATTAATTACCTCCTGAATCTCGGCATCTGTTGACGGTTGGCTGCTGGGGATTTTCCTCCGTGCTTTAGGGGAGCGGCGACTTGTACCTGCTCTCGACTGTCCGGCCCTCGATTCAGTTTGAAACTGAGATCTCGGACGTGTCGCTCGCGAATGTGTTCTTGGATAATCACTCTGGTATGGTTTTAGATGTGTAGGTGGAGGTCTAACCCGATTTCCAGCCGCGGTGCCTGTGGCAAGCCTTCCTTGAGATCCTATTCGTTGTGACCGTGGACGAGTTGCTGTATGGCGTGCTGTGCGAGGTTTGTCATAGCTGGTAGTTGGAGGGTCATTGTCGCGCTGCACTTTGCTTGAACCGCATCCCATCCTGAGCATTTGTTTATTTTTTGTTTAAAAGAAGAATTTATACTTAGTACAGTACATATTATGATCGCAGGATAGGATCCTGTATTTTGCAGACTTGGAGTTGAAAACATGGCTTTGTGGGACTCAAATTGGCGATCGGGTAAACGCGAGCAGTTTCTTGGGAGCTGCCCAGCGTTTTAATAACCCTCCTGGTACCACGTCATATCCCCGACTTGCAAGTGGTAACTCCCTGGTGCTAGGCCTATAGAGAGAATTATTTCCTGTCTCCAACCAGATGAGTTGGATGTTTATCAACGTGGTCTTCGGATAGTGTCTTATAATATGTTTTTCAAAAACTCCTGAATTGATGTTAAAGCCGTGCTTCAATCGTCGGTTATACCCTCCAGCGCGAGAAATATTGATGCGCTCTACGAATTGAAATATTTAGTTACATATTATTGCATACATGCTTATTCATCGGATATGTCACAGAAAGACCAATTGAGGGTAGAATACTACATAAATAGTATATTCTAGCTTTCAGTTTGGTGTGCGAATTATGAAGCTTGTCTGGCTTGCTGGAGCTTTCAGCGCTCTGCTCTGAGTCTTTCCTCCGCCGCTTATTGAGGAGATAGATTGCAACTTGAGCGCATATCTGATGTTCGGCTCTGTGGTAGCTTTAGGAACACCTCGGGGTAAATATTTATTAGGCCACTAGGGCAAAAGAGCTCAATCACCACCAGCGCCGTGTGATATAGAGGGTACGAATCACCCAATCCAATCCCCCCAACAATATTTTACTACGATTCCCCCCGTCCTTCCAATCAAACTCACCTCCGGAGAACGCATCCCATTTTCTCTCCCAGCCCTGTTTTATGGAACCCTACGGAAGAAACCATCCTCCCTTTCCGCCAAACTCGGGCATCTCACCGCATCTTCTGCAATAACAACCGCTCTGTGGACCTAAGCGGGTCTGCCGATGCCCAACAATACCAGGTATGCGTTTCTTTCTGTTACTTCCTTCAATTTGTGGCACACGTCTTGCATTTGGCGGACTGTAAGGAGAGTTCTGACGTGGCATACCGTGATCACCCACCTAACGATCATCATTTCCCATACAAATTGTAAAAACTACCCACCTCAATATATCAATAATTTTTAATTATATTTAATTTTTTATTTGTAATTTATAATCTGCTATCAAATTTAACTATTATATAACATTGAGAATATAAAAAAGTACATTAATCATTGTATATGACATGTAAAAGTTCTAAATATTTCTTCATATAAATTTATATGAGATGTGTTTGAATTCCTAGTTGTAGTTTTCACTTTTATATGAGAAAAATGCTAGTTTATATAATATTTAAATAACTTTCTTAATATTTAGTATTTTTTTATATAAATCAGAATTTAAGCTAACTATATAGTTCTCTACGCAGCGTAATAGTGATTAAATTTTTATTAAAAAATTCTGTATAGTTATGCTAATTATAATACAGTAATCTGAATACATCACATATAATTTATATCTGTAATTTACTAAGAATATCAACTTCTAATACAGTCTATAACTCAGCACATAATACAGATTTTTAATATCTAGAAATTCTATAATCTACTATGTCGATATGTATATATAAATTACATATTATATATAAATTTGATACGATTATTGTTGTGATGTATGTATCGAAGCATTCTTCATTTAGAATGTAAAACCGCGATCGTTAGGTGGGAGTGATCGTTAGGCGGGTGATCACGTTATGTAGATGCAGAAACTATCATAGTGATAATTCTCGGGACTGCCTTCTCACTAAGATTCTGGGCATGTAGGAGCTACTTCATTGTGTGTGTTCTTTGCAGATGTTTACCAGTTCTACCAAGGAGGGGAAGGGAAGAACATCCTTTTATTCTCAACCAAAACCCGCTCGTATTCTCCTCATAGGTTATCGACGTTAGAAAAGATTTCGTCGAATATCACGCCTTAAGCTTTCGCCAACCTTGTCATCAGTCCCAAAATTACAACCGAGCCATATCCTCAATGAATATAACCCATTCTATAGAAACATCAATTACTCAACGAAGAAATGTAGGCCAGGTGTCATCTTTTAACCTCCTTCGCAAGTCCGCAATTTGACCAATCCACTGGACATTCAGTTTGGGTCTCCTCGTTGTCAGCCTCATCTATGCTGGTATACTGCCAAGCGACGGGAATCTCGTCACTACTCCCGATCATCCGATCCCCTAACCAGACTTTGAATGTCAGGCACGACGATTCGATGTATAAACGCACTTCATACTGGATTTTCTGAAGTTCTGCTTTCCGGATTGAGCTCCACCGCTTCTGTTTAGCAGGCTGGGCATGCTGTCGTAGAAGTTCCCCGCCTACTCTTGACTCGATCTCACATATAACACAAGCATCACCTTCGTCGATTGTATGTGGGAGGCGGGCAGCAGGAGACCTGGACATGGCTATCAAAATTTTCCAGTCTATCTCGGAACTGGTGGCTTCGAAAACCCTATCCAATTTCTGGCATATGTATCGGTGCTGGATAATTTGACCTCGTTCGAGAAGCCATTGGACCTGGTTGACGATATACCGCCTCCCATCATAGGGGCTTATTTTCACATGGCTATTGTAGCTGGGAGGGGTTTTGCCTGTGCGAACTCTGTTATTGACCACTATGCCGTAGGAGCTGGAACTACATCGAGTGGATAGGACGGAATGTCCATGTCTCAACGATGAACTCGGTCGATTACTAGTCCGCGGGAGACCGCTAATTGGCTATAGGGAAGGTCAGCGCGCCATTTTTTTTCTTTTTTTTTTAAAAAAAAAAGATAATAAATCGCTTCCTCACGGTTCATTTGAAATTAAAATCCCTTTGGCTTCTCTCCCGTAACCATACTTGGTGATAAACCAATCCTGAACGTAGCGAGAGGAACCTAGGCCGCCGGAAAGGATCATATGTGTCTGTTGACAGTTAATCGGATCCGACACTCCAACAACAAAAGAAAAGAAAAAAAAAACGTATAACGTACCACTTTTACTGGGGGCGTGATATCACCAACACGTCGAAGCTGCTCATCAATAAGTCCAAAAATCTGTCGAATCTGGTCGTCGAACAGTCGTTGCAGATCATCCCTTGTTAATGGTTAGGTAATTCAGAAGCGCTGGCTATAGGTAAACATAACATACGTTGGTAAACTTACTCTTCCAGTACTATCCTTCCATCTTCGATACCCGCTTCTGGGCTGTTATAGGATATTGGAAGGCCAGGGATGCGAAGGGCATGTCTCCGTAAGGCTGTCATTACTCTACACCCATAATTCAACTTGAAGACTTGAAAATCGCCTTTTGTCAATTTGCGTGCTGCAGACTTCGGAGACCAACTGCGGCCATCACTTTCGTAACGGATCGTTTCCAAACGGCTTTCAACTTCCCTTTGGAACGCCTGGTCGATCTGCACGGAACCAAATGGTTTTCCTACACAGATTAACGATGAGTGGCGGTTCAGGAGCAGAATGGAAGGAATATTAAGATACCGCTGACGTAGTCGAGCTGCTCTAACTGAAGCACATCTTCTCGCTGACCTCGAACTGTATATTTTTCGATTGATGAAACCTTGAGGACGGCCACATCCTGTGGATGATGTTAGCAGGCAAATCACCGACGACAATGGAGCAAGACTCTGACAGTTGTTCCGCCTCCAGCATCGCAAATAAGAATTACGCTGCCAGCTTCAAGAGGCTTCTCCTTCCTAGGTGGAAGCTCCCTGCTTCCTTCACGGTATTGGACAGCCCGTTGGTGTCTAAAGGTTTTGGCCGAGTAAGCTGCTGCTGCTGCTGCTTCATTCAACTTAATCTCGACTGAGTGGGCTTCACAGTCTCCAAAACCAGAACTCCTCACAATTCCGCAAAATGCATCAACCACCTTTGGATTTTGCCAGGTTGTCGGGAAACTAAAAACGTATTCTACTGGGTGTAGTCTCCAATCGCTCACCACCGGATAAGGTAGGTACTCTGAATTTCTTATATATTGGATGATGTGTAGTCGAAGGGCGGTAAAGAAATCGACAAACCATGTCTGAACATCTTCATGTGTCCAGAACATCTCAGCGTTATTCGCAAAATTAAAGTCAGGGTCAAGATATAGTTTGAAACAATCCACCACGTCCATTCCAGGATGCAACTCATCCGGTTCATCGAATCCCCATGATATGGGTTTCCTGCAGCCCGCTTGGTACCAGAGTTTTGTTGGCACTTTATTCGCTATCTCCGTAGTTCCTGGCCATCTATTTACAGAAATCGGAGTTTCCATATCCACGGTCGAGAATGCGACTCCTAACAGGACATTAGGCAACGCCTCGGTTCAAAGTCAACTCACACAAACCGCATTGTGCATGTCACTACTATACCACGGTCATCGAACCACGAAAAAAATTTAAAAAATAAAACAATAATAATACAAAGAAACAATACCTGTAAAGGTTAAGCCCAAATCAATGCCGATGATAATAGTCTCAGGAGTTATATAGTGGCGCGTCATTGTTCGAAATATCTACCGCGTCGAACACAAAAGCTAAACAGATTGAGGAGCGTACTGGTGGGAGAATAGGATGGGGAAAGGAAATCAAGTCCTGCTTGTTTAGTATATTCAAAGGAAGAAGGAAAATGCGCAAATTCCATTCTTTGGAGGTATCATACGGTTATATTAGTCGACAGCCTGAGTTGTCCTTGGGAACGATTTGCGCCAGAGCCTCTTGGAATGCATGATGACGATACCCTTTTTTTTTTTCTCCTGCAGTTCCTGGAAAACGCTGCTCACATGTGCATTTTTGAAGCCAATTATATGTAAACAAATATTCGTTGCAAGTCCAACCATCCCGAGTCGTTCCAGTTCAGTTGCCTCACGAGTTCTTATGTGCATATGGTTGAACCGTGCTGGATGATAGAAACCCACATTCGCAACCGGCCTGGAATCCCCAGAGAAAACCGATACGATTCCCATCGTAGATTTGTGGTACCATGCACTACCCTTGACAAAACTATGGATTAATTAGCATTAAGCCGGGCACGAGTTGGGCATCTATCGAAGACGGGGCTTGAACCATCAGACTGGGCACATTGTCTGCCCCGCACACGTTGCAAGCTATGATATCACTCGTTTCACCCTTGGGTACATGTCGAGGAATTTTCTTAGGGCGGGGGAAGGGTTTCTGAGCAAGGTAGGAGTAGAAAGAAGGCAAGGTGGAGGGTGAGGAAGTCAAAGGGAGTTGTTGCTTAGTCAGGTAGGAAACAGATCTCAAGAGCTTATTGGCTTGATTCTGCCCTTACTGGATTTTGCCTTCTCAGGTTGAATATCGATTTTGGTGCAAATAAACCCGTTTCCCTATCAGATCAGAAGAGAAAGGATAACCCTGTTATGTTTGAAGGCGCTCAGAACTCCACTACCTACCAAAGTCCAAAGCGCATTTCCTGGGCGACACTGCCCACGTATTTCAATAAACGATAGAGCAAAATGGAGTATTTGATTCGCTTCGCACAAGTCCATGAGTCGTTTCGAAAGCCGGAGATTGAATCTCTCGCGGCGCTCGTTGGGACCAATGTTGAATTCCTATCATATACAGAAAATGTCTGTTATCCCAGAAAGATTACCCCCAGAAAAACAAAATAGAACCCACCCTTTCCCCGTTATTTTTACGACTCTAATCCTAACTCTTCCCGGCAGACACCATTTGCCATTGTTAAACTCCAAGATGAAGCCGTTGCGAGAGCAGTCATCGCTCGCAGTGTCCTTGCAAAGGGCATATATGAGATCTGGGGCCAAGGCCAAACATATGAAGACCTCCATTCAGATATCAGTAAGCGGACTGCAGCGCGATGGAGCGACTTCAAAAACAAGTCATTCAAATTCTCCGTAGACTCATATGCCGGGAAACGCTCAGCAGAGGAAAAAACTCAAATAATACATTCATTCGCCTACATGGATTTTCAAGGCCCTATCAGAATGACCGACCCGGACGAAGAGTTCTGTTTATTCGAGGAATACCCACGCCGCCCAGTAAAGCCAGGAGAAGCCCGCCCTGACCCAAACGTGATCTATTTTGGTAGGTGGATTGCATGCGGGAGCAGAGATGTTATAGATAAATACGACTTGAAGAAACGAAACTATATTAGTACCACGTCGATGGATGCTGAGTTGACGCTGGTCACAGCAAACATGGCACTGGCAGCGCCAGGAAAAGTGTTCTTTGACCCCTTTGTGGGGACCGGAAGCTTCTGTGTTGCTATGGCGCATTTTGGAACTCATGCGTTGGGTTCTGATATTGATGGGCGTAGCTTCGGTGGTAAAGAGAGGCAAAAGGGCAAATCCATGGGTCTCGTCTCGAACCTTGAGCAATACGGCATACAGCAGTATTTTTTGGATGCTTTTATTTCAGACCTGACCAACACGCCAGTCAGAACGACGCGGTTTCTAGATGGCATCATCTGCGACCCTCCGTACGGCGTTCGAGAAGGATTGAAGGTTCTGGGAAGCAAGGATGGTAAAAGAAAAGAGCCTGTTCTGTTAAATGGCGTCCCAAGCTATCGGTGAGGGTTTTTGTCCTTTTCTCTTCTGCCTCAACCCCCCTCCTCTCAGTACTGTTCCTATATCGACCTGGAATGTAGAGAGTTACATAGGTCAAATATTAACTTATTAATGTTTATTAACGATCAGCTTAGACGGGTACATCGCACCCAAAAGGCCCTACAGCTTCGACGCAATGCTAGACGATATCCTCGACTTCGCGGCCCGCACCCTTGTCCCAGATGGGAGGATTTCTCTTTGGATGCCCACTGCCAATGAAGATGATGTAGAACTTGAAATCCCAAGCAATCCGCATCTAGAACTTCTAAGCGTCTGCGTGCAACCTTTTGGCCACTGTGAGTTCTTTTCCTTCGACATCTGTTTAACGTTTTTTTTTTGGTCCCAACCTTTTGTGATTATTGTCATTAGGCTGTCTAGTTAATATGCAATTTTTCCCAGGGTCTCGCCGCTTACTTACATACCGTCGACTTCCTGGTGGAGAAGTGTCCGCTTCTGAACCACGACGACAGAGGGGGAACGTAAATGGCGTAAAAGCTAACGACTTGAATGCTTTTAGAAGAAAAGTACAAAAATACTCATTCTTATATACTTGCGGAATACCAAATAGTTAAAGCTAACGCCTATAATATAGTACTTTGCAAAATCCAAACCATCCCTTCAAGAATAGCTCTGATAATAATGCAGCACGCAACGAAGTCCCGGAGGGGGCAAGCATTCTCGACGCTCATTCCCGTGGTCTCGGTTATACTCTCCTGCTTACTGACTATTACTGGATGACGAAGAACCAGTCCTTGATTAATTTATAGGCGCATGTCTTATCAATTCAAACGCAAGTATATAAGAAGCGGAATAGAGCTCATAGAGTATAACGGCGCAAGAAATGAATGATCCCTTCGTAAACCTCGGCAGTCATGAAACGAACAGCTTAAAATACACGGCCTTAGCAGCAGAAAAAGCAATTATCTACAATCCATCTATTCCAGCCATCACTGGGGATCACAATTTCGACAACCCTCTCCATTTCTCCTTCGCTTGCCCGAATTCTCCATCGAGATCTAGATCGATACCCTCCACTTCCTTAACGCGAGCAACTTCCCTCGCCAACTCGACGCGCAATTGAGTTACTGTTTCCTGCGCCTCGTTATCGTCAAGCTCTTCCCGCTGGCCACGGCCAAACATCAACCAGCCTCCCTCTTGGGGAGTGTCTGTATCCAGAGGTGGTCGTGGGATGATATGGAAGTGGACATGGGGAATTGTTTGTGATGCTCTTGGACCTGCTTTTTTTTAGAGGAAAGCCCATATAACGGGTCGGAGTAGTGTTTGTGAGCAAAATGAATGTTCACGACAATGAAAAAAAACATTAGAAAAACATGGAAAAGGGAGTTAATGAATACTGAAGTAGACAGACGGAGATGCACGGCACCCAATGCACAATAAGCAATTTGCAAAGTTCATGATGCCTTGTGGCATTAAGCTGAACAAAAGAACAAGTAGCAGGGGCAACATACCGTTATTCTGCACGACATTCCACTGTGCTGGATCTTCACGGCGCGAATCTAACTCAGTGCCCAACACTGTCCTTGTCACCGCTCGCGAAAGTATCGGGAGCCATTTACCAAGCTTTAATTCATATCATTCATATCAGCACAACATCTTAAATCACCGTCTTCCTAACCTCTTTCTTCCATCTTCAAGGAGCAACAATTTTTTAAAAAAAAATGTAAAAATAAAATGGATGTAATTACAAAAACAACGCAGGTTTTATTCTTTTCTTTTTTTTCTTTTCTTTTTTTTTTTTTTTTTTTTTTTTTTAAAAAAAAAAAGGTAGGGGAAAATTGATAAATACTGAAACGCTCACCTCCTTCCCAACCTCAACCCCAACGTTCCCCAATTTCTCATGATGGTCCCTGGAGATCACGAGCACATGGCCTCTTGTCAGGGGCATGATGTCAAGAAACGCCAGCACATGCTTCGTCGAGAGGATGAGGTGAGCTTGAGGGGCTTGGGATCGGGTATCTGGCTTCGCCGTCGTCGTATGTGACTTGTTCGGTACATCCACACGAGAAGGCGGAGAGGGTGGATGAGCGGCTGCGATGGCGCAGAAGGGACAATTTGGGGAACTGGGAATGGTGGTGGGTTTGCGGGATGATTTAGCACGCTTGAGAGATGCGGGTGGCCAGATTGTCGCTGGAGAAGTCATTTTTAAATCCAGGGCGGGGTTTCCAGAGCGGAGTTGAGGGTATCCAATTTTTCTATTTTATTTTATGTACGAATATTTATACATCTATTGATTTCGTTGAGATGTCATCGTATATATATAGATGAGTATCCAGTGAAGCTTACCTTTTTTTTTTTGAGGATAGCAGAAATTTAAAAAAAAAAAAAAAAAAAAAGACAGAGAGAGAGAGGGAGAGAGCTTCAGAACGCAATTCCCGGACTTAAAGTGTAAGGAATGAAAAAATCTCAAGACGTTGTTTCTCCACAGCTTAAGATGGAGAGAACGAAATGTCTCCGCGACCCTCTACGGCTGATGCCCTAATTATGGCGCTTCAGCCCGTGAAGCCGAGGCCATAATCATCCGGCTCCCTCAGCGAAATACATACTATCATCACCCCCACTCACGAGTCATTGAGAAGTGATATATATTTGTATGAAACATTCAGAATCAAAGATAGTGATTCATTAATCCCCAGAAAAATAACCAGTGGCGCTTCTCTAATGACTTCCATTTTGAAGGGTTAGTTTTGGAAGGGTTAGCAGCGGATTTTTTTTTTTTTTTTGACGTCTTCATCATCCCTGGATGGAACCCCTTTTTTTATCATGTTTTGTACTGTGAAGTATGCATGCAGCCATCCGGATAAGACGACCAACCCAATTGTTACCTACAGCACCTAGGAAAATTAGCTCGTCTCATGATTAAATCGCCTTACAAATTTCAATCCATGTTCAATGAAATGGCCCCTTGCAACAGTGCCCCTCACCTAGATAGATATTCTTCCAGATGACTGACAATGATTAGCATATGCTTTACATCTAGTTATAAGGAAAATATAATATACAATGTCATACATAGGATTGCAAGATTTTTTTAAAGAAGATAGAAAAAGGGGTTAAACTTTTATCAAGATCTAATTATGTTTGTTGATGGTCAGCATTTGCTGTGGTTAGAAATTTTGATTTTCGGGGGAGTTCGGCTGAAATCAAAATGGGATCATAAAGATGAGAAAGCAATTATTTTCATGACGTCTGGCTAACAAGGTTTTGTTGCCGTAGCTACAACATCTACCTGCAATTGCCCAAAGAAGCGAGATGTTCTGTCGCAAAATTATTATAATCATTTTCCACTTTCTCTTTGTTGCACTCTTAATCAAAAGTTCTCGTCGCGCACGTCTCTCTCTGTAACACAGCCGCCCGGGAGCAATGATATATCGGGATAGATCCGAGATATCGAAGTTCTGGGAAATGGTTCATGGGCAATAAAATAGCCTTCTCAAGTCCGTATGTTAATGGACGCGTGTGTTGAACATACACATCATGATGAATACCTTCCGGGAACAAGTGGACAACGTGCCTCTCTCTCATCGCATATGAACATAATAAAAAACGGAAAAAGTGGTATT